CATCTTTTATTGCAAGGTTCACCATATAGCAGATGGTGGGACCCGGGATCCTTGGAGGTCCTTTCCTGATGTGATAACAGGGATTTACAGCCACCTCTTTTTTTGATCTTCAGGGATCGGCTATTTCACCCTGCCCTACCTGGTTCACGCTGGTGCAGCTTTTGTCCATGCCTGTGAATGGAACCCTTATGCTGTGGAAGCTTTGAGGAAGAACTTGGAATTGAATGGTGTACAAGATAAATGCCATGTTCACCAGGGAGATAACAGGAAGGTGAGTAGCGAGGAAGATGCAAGCACAGTGGTTCCTTTAAAAGATTAGGAGACGCAAAGGTGCTTTTCTTGCTGAGGGTTTACAACGGTCAGGGCATGGGGCACTCTGGGCCAGAGTGAAGGGGGAACGACGACGACAGGGGGCCACCTTGTCTCCTGTGCAATTCTTATAATATAATATATTGCATTTTGTTGTTGTTCATTTGTTCAGTCATCTCCGACTCTTCGTGACCTCATGGACCAGCCCACGCCAGAGCTCCCTGTCGGCCGTCACCACCCCCAGCTCCTTCAAGGTCAGTCCAGTCACTTCAAGGATGCCATCCATCCATCTTGCCCTTGGTCGGCCCCTCTTCCTTTTGCCTTCCACTTTCCCCAGCATCATTGTCTTCTCTAGGCTTTGCTGTCTCCTCATGATGTGGCCAAAGGACTTCAGCTTTGTCTCTAGTATCCTTCCCTCCAATGAGCAGCCGGGCTTTATTTATTATAATATTATAATGTAATGCAATATACTACTACTACTACTAATAATAATATGATATAACTATATATTTATATTGCATGTACTATTACTAATAATATTACAATATAATTGGTATAGTACAATATAACAATATTTAAAACTGATATTGTACTATGCTAATAATATGCAATATAAATATACATTATTAAATATTACTATATTGTACTATACAATTATATTGTAATGTTATATATAATTATAATATCATATTATTATTATATTGCATTAAAAAGGTAGGTAAAGGTTTTCCCCTGACATTAAGTCCAGTCGTGTCCGACTGGGGGTTGGTGCTCATCTCAATTTCCAAGCCGAAGAGCCAGCATTGTCCATAGACATCTCCAAGGTCATGTGGCCGGCATGACTGCATGGAATGCCGTTACCTTCCCACCGGAGCGGTACCTATTGGTCTATTCACATTTGCATGTTTTCAAACTGCTAGGTTGGCAGAAGCTGGGGCTGACAGGGGAAGCTCACGCCGCTCCCCAGAATCGAACCTGCGACCTTTCGATCAATAAGCTCAGCAGCTCAGCGCTTTAACCCACTGCGCCACCGGGGCCCCTATATTGCTTTGCATTATAATATTATAAATATTATATGTATATACAGTATATTATATTACATTAAAAAAAGGTGAGACTGTCTGCTGGAGATTCTGAAGAATTGCTCGCAATCTATATAAATAAAAATGTAATGTTCGGTTGTGGGATTAACAGAACTCAAAACCCACTGGACGAATTGACACCAAATTTGGACACAAGACACCTAACAACCCAATCTATGTCCTTCACTAAAAAAATGATTTTGTCATTTGGGAGATGTAGTTGCTGGGATTTATAGTTCACCTACAATCAAAGAGCATTTTGAACTCAACCAATGATTGAATTGAATCAAACTTGGCACACAGGACTCTAGAAAACACTAGAAGGGTTTGGTGGGCATTGATGTTGTGTTTGGGAGTTGTAGTTCACCTACATCCAGAGAACACTGTGGACACAAACAATGATGGATCTGGACCAAACTCTACACAAATACTCAATATGCCCAAATGTGAACACTGGTGGAGTTTGGGGAAAATAGAATCTTGACATTTGGGAGTTGCAGTTCCTCGGATTTATAGTTCACCTAGAATCACAGAGCATTCTGAACCGCACAAACGATAGAATTGGGCCAAACCTCCCACACAGAATCCTCATGACCACCAAAGTGGGCCACAGCAACGTGTGGCAGGGGACGGCTAGTTAGAATAAAAAATGCTGTGAAAATTGGACATCATATCTCACCTGGTGTAATGTTTCTTCTGATATTCCTTGTCTCTTTTCCTCCTCTGCAGCTACAACTGAAGGACGTGGCTGACAGGGTGAATCTGGGGCTGATCCCCACATCGGAGGCCGGCTGGCCAGTTGCCTGCCAGCTTTTGCGAAAGGACGTGGGAGGCATTCTTCACATCCATCAGAATGTGGAATCTTTCCCAACAAAGGCCCGTGAACTGCCCCACAACTTGATGTCGGAATGGTCTGATAAACAACTACTGGCAGAAGAAGGCAAAATGGGTCCGGGAGACCACAATATTCTGCAGGATGCTGAAAGGAGAACTCCAGCTTTGGCAGCCAAATGTGAATGGCAGAACTGGGCAGAGCTCACAGCCATCCGGATCAGGGATTTGCTACAGGAATTGGATAACAAGGAGTGGAGGACAATAATCCTCCACATTGAACAAGTGAAATCTTACGCTCCTCACGTGCAGCATCTAGTTTTGGATCTGGAGTGCCGACCTTTTGCTGAGAATGTGGACTTGGAAGCATAGACCTAGAACAGCATTTTCCTGTCGTGGCAGCCAATGTAGGCTGGATCTACACTGCCCTATAATCCAGGTTCAAAAGGTGGATTAACTGCATTATTCTGCATTATAGGACATTGTAGACTCATCTAATCCAGTTCGATGCAGTTAATCCACATTCTGAAACTGGATTATAGGGCAATGTACATCTAATTGGAGAATCATAGGAAAATGGGATTGTGGGTTTGTTTATTTTAACCTCTTTTATTTTAACCTCTCTTATACTGAGGGCTGTATGTTGTATGTATGACTATGTGTTAAATGTGTTATGTGTTAAATGTTTTGATACGGCCAATAGGCCAATCAATAAAATGTATCTATCTATCTATCTATCTATCTATCTATCTATCTATCTATCTGGGATTGTGGGTACGAGATCAAGACCCTTGTCAAGCTGGGATCCTCTGCACTGTTTGTCGTTTGGGATCTCAGTCTTCTGATAATGTCTCCTAATTAAGATCAAGAATAAATCTACAACTCTTAATATAATAATAATAACATATTTTATTTATATTCTTCCCTATCTCCTTGAGGGGACTCATGACAGATTACAGTACACATATACAGCAAATAGTAAACACTGTTTATACAATGAACAAGTCAGACAGTACATAAACAGAGGTAAAGGCTTCCCATCTTTTTCCATCTCTGGCATCTGGAGGCTGTGTGTGACTCTGGCCACAGGTGTGTGTGTGTGCATGTGCTATTACTCCATCTTCCATGCTGAGGAGGTTTTGTTGTCCTAAATCCTCTCCTGATCGGATCACCGGCATGTCTGCATGGGTGCCTTTTATTACTTCCCCACCAAAGTGGTACCTGTTTATGTACTCACATTGCTGTCTTTGAACTGCTAGGTAGGCAGAAGCTGGACTGACAGTTGGGAGCTCACTCCAACCTGGGCTTGAGCTGTCAACATTAAATTGGCAAGATTTGCTGTGGCTGGCGGTTTAAACTGCTGTTCTAAAGCTTAATCAGAACCAGGACATAGAAGTATCTTTTGGACACTGTTTCCAAAAAAATAATATTTTTGATTTTAAATTGTATTTCCCAAAATTAGGAGAGAAACAAATTGAATTGTTTCTGCATATGAAACAATTCCAGCAAAGGATCACCGCCTTGTCGGGGCGCTGGAGCTTGAGCACCTCAATGATGTCATGAGCGAAA